ATAGCTGCATCATCATTTGAAATGTACATATCTATTTTCGTACATAAAGGGAGTATAAGTGAGCACTAAGATGCCAGTACCTGTTATTGGTTTTGGTTTTCTCCAGCTGCTCGTTCTGCCTGGCATGCCACTCCTCCAGCTCAACCTTGGCCTTCTCCTTCCACTCTGACTCTTGCTGGCGAGAGTTGGCGTCTGAGGAGGGAGATGAACAAGGAGAGGAATGATAAAGAAGTGAGGAGGCAGATGAGAGGGTAAAGAAAACAGCAGGGGACAATGATATGAATGACAGGGCAGGAGACATGGGAGGAAAATTAGGAATTAAAGAAGGAAGAATTTACGACGTTTACGTTTGGTTTGGCAGTCAATGTTAACATGCGTGTTCTTTAACTAATGTTTTACACACATACCATGAAAAAGACCTGCTAGATTTGAGACACCAACACTTGGCACAATTGTCACAATATTAACCTTTACTTCTTTACATCTGAAAGAGCAGGGTCCGTCCACTCCCTCTGGCCTGTGCTTACCTAGCAACTCCAGCCTCTCGCTTTGCTCCTCCCTCCACTTGCGTAGGCTTTCAGGTTCGGCCTGCAGCCGGTCTGCATTGGAAATTGCTGCATAAGCATCTGATGGACCGTTGCTTTCCTGAGAAACAAGGGAAATGATGATAGGAAGATGGTAGAAAAGCACTTTCTCAATGAGATTTACAGAGATATGGTACAGAAATGGTCCTTCATCCTGAATTATTCAATAACTCACCTTCCAACTATCATCTGAAATTTGCAAGGATATTTGGCATCATCTATTGTAGTCAGTCTGTTGTCCTTATTCCTATATGTATGCAGTATATATGCTTGTAAAGCTTAGCTGTATGGTGTTTGAAAGGCTTTATTAAAAACCAAATCTGGCCCACTGAGTTGTATCAGCTTATTTTCTCTCACAGCTAGAAAGAAGTCCTGACAATGCAAAAGGCAGCAATGTTGCAATGCCAGCACAGGAAAAGGAAGTTGGAGCAAATCTGACTGCCAGATACCCAAACATCTGAGGTTAGCACGAAAATCACACTACTAAAGTGCTAAAAGAAAAATATTTAGTGTTCTTTACATTTTATTTAACAAGAAAGCAGCAGAATTGATGTATAAAATGAAGAAAATCCGCTGGGGCAACATTGCATTAGCAAGACTACTATGTATTAATCTTATGAATTCATTTTAAGGATAATTCTGGTTTATAACAACTTTTGTTTTATATTTTGGGCATCATCCCTATCAATAATTATAACACTGTACTCCCTAAATTGTACTCACTTTGAACATGGTACTTCACTAAACTTCACTTCACTAACCAACAAGTTATCGAAATTCTTTAGAGGCGAACACAAGTGAAGGGTTTGCTACCCAGGCTGTGCAATGTAAACATCCATCATAATTTGCAGAACAACTTATAGGTTTTCATTTGACCTTACGTACTTAATGTAGTTGTGTGGGCACACCATTTTTTCTGTGCATTGAGAGTTCATCTTTGGCATTTCAGGTGGATTAATTTTCAGTTATACGTCCAAATTAAGTGGTCTAGATAATCTGTTTTAGCTGTGGGCATATTTAGAACCTGTCCAATCACCTCCATGCTCATATCGCTTCACCAATCCATTGTTAGCGATACTGCAATGCTCCTAGATCTTAGCAACATTTACCTAGCACAACATTAAAAATACTGATAGGAATGAAGGCCAGGTATGAGTGCAATGTTATCATAATTAACTGAAACGAGATCCTCTGCAGAATCAGCAGAGATAAAAACACAGGTCTTGAGAGGCTGCAAGTAAGAGCTCCATTATTTAGAGGTAAAGAGATCAAGGCAGACACAATTTGACAATTCAAGAGCAAAATATTAACAACAAAAACTAAGTAAATAAAGCTTTACCCCATGAAGCTCTCCGTTGACAGCACCATCTAAAAAGACAAGGAAAATGGCTGTTAGAAATCAAGCAGACAAGTAAAACCAGACAAAATATATATGGGGGAAAAAAACACAACAACTTTATAATGACTAGGCCTTAACTAACTGGGAATCCCTTACTCTTGCTGAATCCTCAAGATTTTCATACACACATATTTCGTAATGTGACATGTCAGCATTTCGTACCACCTACAATTTCTAAACCACAACTGAGCTGCAGCTTCGAGGATATGAGGCAGTCATGGTCAAAGGTCATTCAGCTCCATAAGTTTCCTCTTGAGAGTGTAAAGTTAGCTGGCAAACACAGCTCGAGCTACACATAGCGCTGTCAGCATATAGTTAAGCTTGATAGGCAGCAATGAATGACACAGCCAGGAACTGATGTTATCAGACAGCTTCATTCATTATAGAAACACGAGCGAAACGTTGAATCATCACATAACAAACATTAACTAGAGTTAATCTAGAGTTTCATTTTTATGTGTTTGTGTTTTTTGACGTTTTTACATAACGTAGACACAAGTTAACGTCAAAGATAGCTATGCTCACGTAGCTAATTTGCTAGCGCAGCTAATGTTAGCAAGCTGGTTGAAAGACCGTCCACTTCAGTGTCCATCCCGGACCAGATTACCGTTTAACGGAACCGTTATCGTTGAGTAACAGGGACAGTCAAATAGGGTTAAAGTTATTTGGACACACAATGTTAACTTTGAACAGAGGCAAACTGTCTCCGGTTGACCACAGCTGCAGCCACCCACCGTTTGACTCTCCCAGCGACGAGGGGACCTCTCCGCTGTCCAAGATGCTGAATCCTTCGTCGTTCTCAATCCCCGCGATTTCGCTCTCCTGCTGGGCCAAGAACGCGGCTGCAGGGTCCTCCTCCGAGCCGACACCGTTTCCAGCGGCGGGCGCGTTCAGCATGTCAAAATCATCCATGTTGTGCGTACTTATATGAGGAAAAATATGAGAAACGGGGAGCAGGTGTAGCGCTTGACCGAAAGCGATTAGCTCAACGGGAAGAAGGACGACCAAAAAAAAAAAATAGTAAAAACTAGCGAAGCGGAAACGGATGAACAACCAATCACAGACCAGAATGGGTGACTGATAGTACAGAGCACCAATCACACAGCAGCTTCCTCAAATTTGGACCAATCAAATCTTTGAATCCTCTTGTATACGGGTCCCATGACCGGCTACGTGCTGTGACAGTTGTGACAAAAATCCGCAGTCTGCGATAAAGCGAGATTTAATTTCTACATGATAAATGCGATCATTGTCAGGCCCTATTTTTATTTCTATATATCAATATTCTGTCATCACATACTAAACTAAATAAATGAGCATATAAATGTCCAAATGTATACTCTGCATACATATTATTTATATGTATGCATATGGATGTATATAGGATGTATCATATACAAGGGGTCTTCAGGGTGTATTTTACTGTCGGCCTTTACAAACCTCCCAGGGCCTGCAGCAGAGATCCCCACTCCTTCATACTGCCATAGTAGTAGTTTTTTTTTACTGCCTAAGTAACGTCCACTACTTAGGTTAAACACGAAACACTGTTTGAGTGTGATAACTAAAATGTTTAATTTTGGTCTCATCAGATCATAGAACTTCTGTCAAACGCCTGCCGAGTCTTTGGTTTTCTCTCTGCCACCCTGGCAACACTTGTTGTGCCCAGCCCTAGTATAATGTCATGGTGGTAAATTATTAACAACAACGATAGTCTCAAATGCTCAGGTGTCAGTCAAGCACTCAGCTGACCCAAGGGTACAAAGCTGGGAGCAAATATAATGGTGTTAAACTACATCAAACTGATATCAGTGTGATTCAGCACTTAAACTGTTGTAAGGACTCAGCACTACCACAGCATTTCAAACTAGAACTCATGACAATTAGAAAATTAGAAACTCTAGCCTTTTGTCCTGAGCCAAAGCCAGTGTTGCTCACCATAAGATCCACAAGGAGCAAGAACACACATCCAATTGTATCAAATTTCACTTCCTCCTTGTGAAAGATAGCTTAAAGAGGACATGAAACATTCTAATTTTACAAGTTTTTATACATAATAAAGTGTGCTAGAATATATGTTTAAATTTTTTTGGATATAAAACAATTACACGCTAAGTTATTTAAGATTTATTATCCATGTTAACTTATGCCTTCGCTCTGGGTCGCCGCCATATTGCCTTTACGTCACACGCTACGTCATTAGGTTGGTGTGTGGGGATTCCATGCATTCAGCTACGGTGAAAAGCGACGAAAAATGGCCTTGCTTACAGGTGAGCATTTTTCTAAGTACAGAGTTGTAAACATATCATATGACTACGTTTTATTATTATTGGGACATAGTTGGGGACCAAGGACTTGGAGTGGCTCAACATTTCTCTGGAATTTCAACTGAGTTTAAATTCAAGGTAACTATTGATGGGAATGAATGATTAACTAAAAAGACAAAGAAAAAAGAAATTGACGGACATTACATTTATATTTTGTATTTCAACTTTTTATGATAGCTGTAATTCGGGGATAAAAATTGATAACATCATCAAAATAACTGAATAAGGACAAACAACATAGCATAGCAACAAATGGTACAATTACTCATAATTTGCATGATGAGTGTGAGGTACAACACTAAATTATGAACGGACTCAACTGGTAATATACTGACTTCAAAACTTGGCAGCAGGGAAAGTAAGTGTAAGATTTGCATAGCTCCAGTCATGTAACTGATTTTGGATAAAGAGTGCAGGAGACAGAATGGTCAAAGCCAAAAGTTCCATTCACACTATTTTCCCCATAAACAAGGCTATGTTACTGGCTATATCTAATATCCAGGAAAGTCACACGATGTGAACTGAATAATGTTGCAGGCATTGTTACAAAGTAAAATATGGGTAATGGGAAAAACTACTTCTGGAAACAGCAGCTCAGTCAACTTCTTGACTCTACTGGACCCCCAGAAACAGATCCTCCCACCATCAGGTTTGTTTATCTTCTCATTCTTTTACATAAACCATTTTTTCAAATGACTCTTATTGGGGTTTATTTATCAATAAACACACATTTTACACATTTCAAGGATGTAAATTAAAAGATATTTCGTGTTTTTGTAATAGCTGCATGTTGTCTGTGTACAATTAAAACTACAATACTTCAAAAGTTTATAACAGTACATATGAAACAACAGAGATGAAATATATCTCCGAAAGGCATGAAAGAAAGAGAAATTGCTTAAACTGATTCAGTCAAAAGATTCATCCTAAGGCCCCAAATATAGTGTAGCAGCAATAAGGCTAAACAAGTTGCTGCCTTCATATTTCATTAATGAGCCAGTATAGCATTATACTCATTTTATAATAATGATTTAATACCTCTAAAACATCCAAGAGCACCAACTATACTACCCTTGTAAAAGCACTTTTGTAATTTACCAACAACACCTTAAATAATTTAATTAATAACAAAACATGGAAATGTAACATAAGTCACCCTTATCCGAAAAAAGGATGGAAATCCATACTTCATACAAGATTTAAAGAAAAGTGAGAAAACAAGCGTTTAGAGAGAACAGAGATGAAGCTAAGGGAGCATGTCTCAGCAATATTTTTGGTCACATCTGAAACAAGCTTTCTATTTCTTAAAGGACCTTTCCATTAAAAACCACATCATGTAACAAGTAAAGTAGGCCAGTCCTGTCCTGTGTGGGACAATTTACCTTGCAGAAGGCTTTGTAGTTTACTCTAAAGTATATGCTTTGTTCAAAAAAAGCTCCGGGGCTTCATTAAACCTTGCCTACGTGGGTTTGAAAGACAGGTGGGATTTCTGGTCTGTGCAATGGAACCACTTCATACATGGAAGTATCACACAAGTAAAACTGTGTTCAGCAAGGTTATCAACAACCAGGAAATAATAATAATAAAAAAAAAATGTATATATATATATATTTTTCTATTTATTCTTTTTTTTTAATATTTGCCTCATCTCATCTTAAACATTGACATGATGGTTTTAACACATTGTCTTTTAGTCTTAGAAATGTATGCCTTAGATATGCTGATGTATCTATCTGGGCACTTCAGTTTTGCAGTCATGTTGTTGGTAGGGTCCATGGTAAATCAGGGCTATATCCTTTAATATGTCCTTCTGGTTGTATAGTCTAACACCATGCTAGCAGCTCCAAGTAATGCAGGTTCCTCCAAGTCTGATGTGACAACTTTGATGCTCTGGGCAGAAAAGAGCGCTCTCTCTTTGATGATGTGCTGCACTGGCATTTGGTAGTAAGAGGCCAAGACTCCAGACAGAATCACCAGCGAGGGGTTCACTATGTGGAGGATGTTGATGATGCCCACACCGAGAGCTGTGGAAGCTGCAGAGGGAGAGATGAGGACAGATTTAAAAAATTAAAAAAAAAAAAAAAAAAAAGAAAACAAAAAAAATGTTTTTTTCTGTTGTTATTTTTCCACTACACTGCATTGGACCAAGCTAATAGAGTGACTCATTGTCAAACCTACCTCCATGCTATGTTCACAGTGTTCCCACACAGAAGAAGTAAGGTGTGTCCGAACCCACTATTGTTCTCTAACAGTTAAGTAAAACCCAACCCTTTAAACAGAATTGTGTGTGCGTGCGTGCGTGCCCTCTGACCCTTGTTCAGAATGGCATCAGCTTTGGAGTTCCCCAGTCTGGCTGCGTTGATGAGGTGGGCAGCTGTGATTGGCTCTGAAAGCTTCATATCCATCCCCTCCACCTTCAGCAGGTCCTCTGAGAGACACACCAATATGACATAAGTCAGATGTTACAGCTTACATGGAAAAGCCTGTGTCACCTGTGTGTTATGTTCACATTGTTAAGTAAACTATTCCTTTATGCACATACAATGCAAGAGGAAGATAGAGGAAGGAAAATAAAACAAAAAGTTGTTTTCAGAGTGTACACACACCATTGTGTAGAAGACACACCTTTCTCAGTTCTCTGACTGGTTTGGGAGTAACTGAGTCTTGGCACTTTCCATGATGATTCATATATACTAAAAACAAGCACTTACCGTCATGCAGCCTTTTGGCCTCTCTCTGCAGGGCCATGCCGGACGCATAGGCCTCTATGCATCCGCGGCTGCCACATGAACACTCTGGGCCCTCTAATGAAACCATGATGTGACCCAGCTCTGCAGCGCAGAAGGTACTGCCATGGACCAGCTCACTGTGATGGATAATCCCTCCTCCAATACCTACAGACAGAGTCACAATAGTTATTAGTAGAAGACCAGTGTTTCCTCTACATAGCCGCCACGCCTTCAAATTTCTTCTTTTTTTTTTTTTTATTGTCGCAAATGCACCACCGCCACATCTCTCCGCCTTCACAGCACAGCCTGTGTGATGATGAGCGCAACAGCGGGGGGAGGAGAGGGGAGGGAGGGAGTGGGGTGGTTCGGGGATCCTATTGGAGTTAATTACACGTGAGAGCCTTGAAAGTGACATCACGTCAGGCACCAGGTCAGAGTCATAGGCACATGAGTACGGAGCACCACAAACAGAGTGTGAGGTCTCAGGCCTTACTGGCACAAGGTGAATTAATAGGAAGTCATTTAAATTGATGGATCAGATCATCTTAAGTACGACCTGCTTTGTCTTGCAATAACATATTTGTACCTGCTAAGTAAATTATTATCATGCTACTACTGTGTATTGTTTATATTTGCATATCATCACTGCAAGTCAGCTTGCCTCAATCTCAAAACTATATTTAATATAATTTACTTTTAGATTGGAAAAACGACCAACTACCGGTCTCATATAATAATAGATGAGATGTTGGAGATCTTAGCTGCAGTGGTGCAGGAGCCAATCCTCAAAGACATCCAGTCCTCTGTGGCTATCGGGCTGGAAGTGGATGAGAGCACAGATGTCTTCGTGAAGAGGCAGCTAGATCTGCATGTCAGGTATTATTGAGAGGTCAATAATTAATGACTGAATCAGTAATACAGTTATGTTGAAGATGTCTTTTTAAAAATGTTTTTCAGATATATGAACGCAGAAGGCCAACTCTAGCTTATCTCCCTGTGCAAATAAAGGTTTCAATTAATCAAACTCGGCACTCATTTTCTTTTTTGTACCATATATTAGGTAATGGGGCCATATCTGGATGGTCTCCTGGACAGCCTGGACAGGAGATTTCATAACCTGGGGATAATTGAAGCTTTCCATGTGCTGGGACCCCAGGCACTAAAAGAAGACAATACTGTCATCACTGAAGACCTCAAGACCCTGGCCAACAAGTTCCTGCAGCAGCAGCCTGAAACCACTCTGCTGCAGGAATGGTCATCTTACAAGCAGCATTTACTCACAGGAGCTTTTAAGGTAAAATGTTAGGTCCAAATTAATGGGGGAGTTCAGCAGAAAGATGATGGAGGAACTTATTTAATGAGATGTTGTCCCACTGTGTTAAATGTATTTCAGGATATGGACCAAGTAACCATCGTCATCACAAAATGACAAGTGGGCACAGCTGTATCCCTCCATGAGCCAGCTGGCAGCCATTGCCCTGACGGTGCCCATCTCAAGTGTAAACTGTGAGAGGGATTTTTCAACAATGAACAGAGTAAGACATTTAACACTATATCATCAGACACAAACTAGAAACAATTTTAAATTGATTAGGGTGTAGGAAATTGAGAGAAACAATCTCATTATTGTTTCTATTTGTAGGTGAAGAGTGACTTGAGAAACAGGCTGCAGGGGGATCACCTTGCAGCATGTATGCTGCTAAGCATCAATGGGCCACCTCTTGGAGAATTTCCCTACAACAGAGCCTTAGAGCTCTTCTTTAAAAAGCCAAGGAAAATTAAGTGCTCTGAGCCTGGGTGCAAACTTTGCCACTGACTCAACAGCCCCATCTAGCTGATCTTCATATGTTTATTTATTTAGAGGAAACACTGGAAGACGCATAACTAATTCACCAGAGTGATGTTCCTTTCTTGAAGTCTGACCTGTCAATTCTAATTTTGACCAATCTTATTTTCTTTCTACAAAAACATGTTGGAAGTTTTCTTTAATGGAAAATTCAATTGTATATTCATAATAAAACATTGACTATTAACTATTTAATAACTCTGTGAAGGGCGCTTGCTCTCTCTCACTCTGAACAAGGGTAAACAAAAACCATGGGACTGCTCTCTGGTTACAACTCTTCACTTTTCAGCATGCTCATCAACTTTGACCGACACAGAATATGGTATCTGAGACTGATTTTCTAGTCACTGATTATAGCCAATCAAACAGAAAACCGGCAATTGCCGATCGCCAGCAGCATCGATCTGTGCATCCGGCCGTTAGTATACAATACACCATTTCTAAAAATCTAATTATCTTGACAAAAAACAATGAGTTTTAAAAACCATAACTGGATTATGACATTTTTCAAATCCTGCCTCCTCACCTGTTCCTGTAATGACCGTCACAAAGTTTTCCACTCCTTTGCCATGACCGAACTTCTTCTCAGCCAACGCAGCGCAGTTGCCGTCGTTGTCGACCCAGACGGGTAGGTGCAGGGCGTCGGAGATGGGTGTTCTCAGGTCCACTGAGGACCATTCCTGGATCAGCTTTGTCGAGTGTAGGACCACACCTTCTTGTGGGTTTACACGCCCGCCCGTGGACACTCCTGAGATGATAGTTTTATAATGTGTTTTCCAGCATCATAACGGTTGGAACGGTAAGGAATGAGAATGTGTCCGTTTACATACCGACACCAAGTATTCTGCAGTTGAAGGAGACAGCGTCCCGCATGGCATCGGTACACATCTTTAATATGAGCTGCATCCTGGCCTCGAAGGTCTTCGGATTGGGCTGAGTGTACTTCTTTACTATCTTACCCTGGACAGAGCGGGAGCAAATGTGATGTACCAATAAACAAATTAAAAGGACAAAGTAAAAGTAATGTATCTCCAAAGTTATTACAAGGCTTAAAAGGTCTATAAAGGATGGTTAATTAATGATTAATGGAAAATTGAAAACGACTGACTAATCACACACTGACACCAATATCTTTATGAGTAGTAGCACCTATCGTCATGATAAATACTTACTGCAGCTAAATCCAAAGTAATACACTGATGTGTCTAGGTAGAGGTCTGCTCAGCCTACCTTCATGCAGACGATAGCCACTCTGAGGTTGGTTCCTCCCAGGTCGATGGACATAGCGCTCTGTGTCTCCAGGATGTGATCAATGTCCTGAGAGATGGAGTCTTTCACCGTGGGGAAACAGAAGGTCTTCTGGAGGGGCTCATCCAGGTCAATGGTACGCAGAAACTTGAGAATACGAGGCACTGCGTTGCCATCACCATAAATCTTAGAGCTGATGGGAAACAGAAGTACACATTTGTTGATACTCATCTACTTTTTGGAAAAAATTATATTGCTTCAGAATAATGACGGTTTATATGATCTAAACCATCATTTACACAGACAGAGTTAAAAAATTCATCCAGATAGAAATCAGAAAGCAGAGCAAAATAGGTGGTCAGTGGTCTGCAGCCTGTGCTTCCCCAGCTAGGTTAACTTGTTGAACAGCACCTCAATTTGATTTTGAGGTGAAAATCAAATTGAGGTGCTGGAGAAAAATATTAACCAAGTGAGTAACACCAAGTTTACATTTTGCTTGCTGTAACTTTGCCCAAATAATATCCAGTGCAAGAAGAATAAATACTTTTAGAAGAAGAAAGAAACAAGGAAAAGTGGATCTAAAAGAGAAAAATTGGAGGACAAAGGGCTCAGACAAAAACCCAGTGAGATAGACAAGCAGGACATTAGTCATACCAGGGGTATCTCTTTCCAAACTGCAACTCCAGAGCGTGGTAGATCTTATTGTGAGTATCAGCATCTCTGACATGTAGAACATTTTCGCCTGGCAGAGAGTGAAATATCATAAACACAGTTGTTATGATAAACAACCCAGTGCAGAATTTATTTAACAGAATAATGTTTGCTTTGGGTTGTTAATATGATGAAATTGATCTCGACACCATAGCATTATTTCCAGCTGCCACAATCCTCTAATATTCATAACTAAACAGTATCTTGTGTCAGATGGTGAAATGAGGTCTGCAACAACGCCAGGTTAAGCAGGTTAACAGTAATCTTGGTTTTTGTCTTCCTCACCTGTCTCTCTGCCAGTTTGTCTTGTTCCCAGGTTAATGACGGGCGTGCCGAAGGCCCCTGCCTCTCGCACTCCACAGCTGCTGTTTCCGATCATGCAGCCGGCGTGGCAGACCAGCTGGATGAACTGCTCAAAGGGAATGTGCTTCACTGCTCGGAAATTGGGGTGCTGCTCGATGCCCTTTTTCCGCATCACGCGCACCATCTCCTTACTACCTGTTTACGTGGGAAGGGGTGGGTCAAGAGACATACAGAGGTTTGGTGGAATGGGAAATTGGTCTCAGACTTTTGATTTTTTGGATCCCCCTGTAGAAACATTTACTTATTCAACTACTAATCCCAATGATCCTAGTTCTACTTTGACAAAACACTCACATATAGAAAAAAACAAAGCCTCTAAAAACAAGTGGGAAAAGTCCCTAAATGGACCAGTAGGTGAACTAACCGGCATCAATGTTAGGGAAGAGAATGAGGGTCGTCTTGTTAAAGGAGAGTAGGGCATCCAGCATCAGCCCATAGATCTTAATGGAGTGCTGGATGTCTGTGGTGACAGGGTGCTGCAAAGCCACAATATAGTCTTGCTCCTGCACCTTGTCACCTGCAACATGAACAAATACACCACACATCACATACAAACATACACTAGCGTCTCACACTATATTTCTGTCCAATGACTGTATCCCTGCATACCCAGCCAGGCCTTAATAATATCCTTATAGTCTTCTCTGTGGTGAGTTGACAGCAGCTTATCATATGAAGGGCAACCAGCCAGCAAGATGCGGGAATGGTCCTCGCACATGGCGATGAGGTACTGCTCTGCCCTGCGTGTACAGCAGGCGTGGTAATGGGCCAGTTTACTGATGGCGTGGCGAATCGAGTCATCAATTGTACCACTCACCTGGGAAAAGCAGTTATTTGACATGTGGTCACGATTAAGTGCATTAAGAAATAAGAATATATTATGATCTACAGTGAGTGCTTCCATTATTGCTTTCTGTTTGGCTTTAAAAATGTAAAGGTAAGAAAAGGTAAAACAGCATATACTGATAGGAGTATAACAGTCTATATGCATTGTGAGTTTAGTGTGAGATAAAATAAAATGTGTGTCTACCTTCTCACAGCAGAACTTTCCTGTCATACAGCAGACACTGTTCATCAGACAAGCCTCCTCACCTCTCCCCCCTCCAAGTGAAGTATTCTTATGTTCATCAGCGCTGCAGCCGTAGCCAGGGCGAGTGCGTCAAAGCGGTCACCATGGACGACCAGGATGTCAGGGTGCAGCCTCTGCAGGACATCAGGGAGTTTCACCAGGGCCAGCCCAACGCTCTCCACCATGGCCGCCTCATCCTCTCCTCTCACAATAGTGTGCAGCTTGGAGCCGATGTCAAAGTCATCCTGCTCGATCATCCGAAAAGTGTTCCTGTGGGGTGGGTTGTAGGAAAACAACAAATTAAAGAAAAAATCTGAATAAATGAGGAGAGTTTCATGATGAATCCAGATTTCAACCCAACTGAACAACTGTTGGACTGTTGTGTTGGCAGGTGCACTATAATTAATACACAACTTCACTGTTTTAGGACATCTGCAACAAGTTTTTTTTTTTTGAAGGATGCTGTTGCTCTTACCCGTAGTCATCAATAAGATGTGACCCAAGCACCACGACTTCCAGTTCAAACTCGTCAGGATGGGATTTGATCCCAAACATGATGGGGGCCAGCTTGGAGTAGTCCGCTCTGTTGCATGTCGCCACACACACTCTCAACCTCCTCTTACACTACAGCAAAATGAAGTGAAACACACAAACACACACACAAAGACCATTTGTTGATTTGATTGTTATTATATACAACACATAGAAACACGCCCCGGTCTCCACCAGATGCCTGATACAAATGACTAAAAGTAATTATTCCAATATTCAGGTATGCAGGAATATTTACATCCCCACACCTTCCTGTATTTTAATTACAGAAAAAGGCCTAATATATGTATTTCTGCTTCTTTAGAACTAGAAAAATTTCTTCTTTTTAAAAGAAAAAGTTATTCATTTTGGGCATCTTTGCCTTTATTCTGATATTAAAGTTAGAGAAAGACAGGAAGGTCAAGGAGAGGATGACATGCAGCAAAAGGCCACAGGTCGGAGTCAAATCGATTGCCTTAGGACTAAGCCTATGTGGTACGTGCTCTATCAGGTGAGCCACCAAGGTGCCCCAACTAGAGAATTCTCAATAAACTCTCATTTCAATTTCATATGGAAAAAAAAACAGAGACATACCTGATTCAGCTCTGACACCTTTTCTCTCTCCATCCTTTCTCTGCCCCTTTGCATTCTTAGATAGTAAAGCTCCTAGAACATAAAAAGAGGAGACACTGAGATCCAGTAAAGAGACTGTAAAACATGATGTTATCCATTACTTCCAATCAAAACCCACCAGCAGGTCATACTCACTTGGGCCTTCCAAATATTCAGATGCTGAAGCATGAAAACACAACAAAACTACGCTAAAAATGTTTTGTATTTCACATAAAGAACACATGCTGTCACATTTTTCCAGACCTTAGAAACATGCTGTAGGACAGTGCTTTGCATGGCAAGGCAGAAGTCACACTGGTACACTCTGGTCACATGACAGAAGAAAACTGGTTGGGAATGAGGATTCTTTACTATTCTAAAACGTTACTATTAATTTACTGGTTTAATCACCAGTCACGGTACAAATTCATGAAATAATGCTGTAAATGTGCCAGAGTCAGTCAAAAGGCTGTTTTTCATTTGTAGCCCTTGGACAAAGGTTAAAAAAAAAATCAGCCCAAAAACGATGCAGTGGTGGTAAAAAAAAGGCAGTGGTAAGCGTGTCACTGTCAGCTCTGTCAGATCAATCAAACAAACTTATTTTTGCCAGTTACCAGCTAAAAAAATCAAAGTGGGCAATATGGGTGCTTCATCAATAAAAACAGGTTATTACTGAATATATGATATGATAAAAAAAATTAATCAAGTCAACACATATTGTGGTCTGTGAACATTTTGGTGTGTGGAGAGTTAGCATGTCCTCTCCTCTCTTCCGTCTCCCAGCCGTTTGATTTTTGTTGTCTGTAACCTCATTGACCTGACAGAGACCTGTGAATGGGTGCTCAAAAGTGACAGGTCTCCAGTGATAAAGTGAAAAAACAGAAAAACCTGCTCCCTGTTTTTCTTGTCTGGTATGGTATGACTAACACAAGAAATGATGACAGACTGCTGCAAACATAGATGAATATCCTACAGAAGCTAGATGTTTACAACCTGTTTGCGTCACTCCATTCAATTTCAACTATGTACCATGTGTATATATGTAGATGTACATACAGTAAATAGCGTAACCATGTACTTCCATTATCCTTCCCCTGAAATGTGGGCGGGCTAGAGTCTCCTGAGGGTTCAAATGGAGTCACTGAGTTGTAAAACAAAAATCTGATGCACATGCCCAATTGAGCATTCAAAGTCTACTTTTTAAATACTGTAAAAAGACAACAATTTGTTGATATCATTTCTAGAAAACATACAGTGTTGCTGTATGTAGTATGTAGCCTATATACTCAAGCCAATGTGATAAACACACAGGGACTACAAATTCTTGAGCAGATTGAGAGCATGGAATAAAAAAAAAAAGTCCTGAGGTTAGATTTAGCTAGACTGAGCTGTGTTTCACTCCTTTGCATTTCTGGGAATACGACTGAAGGGGTCACTGACATCGGAATGAACAAACAAGGATTAAAAAAACAGGGTTCCCGCTGTGGCACAAATGTTAAATTCCATCATGTTCTCCATGGCGTGATCCATTGTTTACCACAGTCCATGCTGCTTGTAATTTTGTCATGAGAGCTTTGCCAAATACTGTCTTAAATGAATGGTAAATGTAGAATCATTACCCACTGTGGATGGAGTCTTTGTACTGCCATAATGGTATCACCCCTGCAGAGGAGCCAAAACAACAATCAAGTGAATGGATCTTACTTAGACAGAGAGAAATGCCAAATAGAGTTATGCCAAAAAAGAGTTATTAAGTTTATCAACTTGGAAAATATCAAGTCCTTTATCAAAGGCCTCATCCAAGCATATTTTAAAGGCCTGTGCTGTCATGTGAGTTCAGCTGCACAAAGAATGCTGCCATAGGGTTACAATTTTTTGCATTACAATGCTACAGTTTCATTTCAGCCATGATGTAGTTTATCTGCATCAGCTTTGAAAAAAAGGCAAAAGCAACACACAAAAATGGCAATATTCACCACTTTCAATCTGGATTGTCATCCCTGTTTTTTTTATTCAGTGTAAGCTGGAGAAATCCACTTTTCTATTCTTAAGTGGTTCCGCTTGGGTTTGGTCAGCGTTCAGACATGCATCTTGTTGCGTAACCGTAACTGGCAATTTAACATGTTGGTCTCTTGTCACGCAATTTAATTTATATTTGCACCGCTGACATAGCAGATTGTGTGTCAACAGGTTGCAAAATTGAACCTAGTAATATTGTCCTTTGAGCGTACTACAGACAGCAATCAAAACCATTCAATACTTGAACAATCCATGGGCTGTGTCTCATAATAAGACAAACATGATACTGAGTTATGTCCAAATTACAAGTGATCATTTAAGATGATTAAGTGAGACTTCTTCGGATACTTAAAATCTTACACAATCTTACATAATAACTTAGCTGTTAGAGTACCAAGAACAGCCTCTGACATGACACTACAGTGAGTTACTATATGATTGGTTAAGCAATAGCCAGACTCATTAATAAGGCAAGGACCTTGCTCTGCCAAACCAAAAGTGTATTATTTTTTTGGGTAAATTAGATCTAAATCTAAATTTAAGATTTGTCAGACAACTAAATCTCAGCATTCTTTTAATGGGTCTCTATATCACTGGCGGAAGTGTTAGGTGCTACACTTGTCTGCTTATGTGGTGATTTTTGGCACATGCTATTTGCACCCAGGGTGAATAGCCAATGTGGCTATTTACATGCAGGTATATATAGTATGGTAGAGATAAGCACCCACATCTGTAGCCAGCAATGCTATTTGCACCCAGGTGTCTGTAGACAACAATGGTATTTGCACCTGGGTGTAAATAGGCATTTTGGCTATTTACACATGGGCTTTAGGTTCAACTGGATCACTTTAATGAGTCACATGAGAAGTTCTGGCAGAAAAGCTTTTTAAAACATTTAGCGTTAACGTCTATTTTAATCCAAACCATGATCTTTTCCTAAACCTAACCAAATAACTTTGGTGCCTAAGGCTAACCAAACTGCAACTGAAAACTGAACATAAAAAACAAGATGAATAAGTAAACTAAGTCTAGAAATTAGTAAGTATCAGCTTTTGATTTCGCACTGGAGTTGAACACCAGCTTGACCGATTTATTCACCACAACTTACTCTCTACATCGACTTTGTCACCAGGATTTGTCCTGGGATTCCCAAAGGCCATTCAGACTGTGGCTGTTCTTGTTTTAACAGCATTACCGAGGACAACCCAAAGCTGAGCAATCAGCAAAGCCTCATAACCAACAGATGATGCTGGTGAGCTTTTCAACCATTATATCTAGGTTTCAAACTGATCCACCCCAAACACCCCAACACTTAAGCCGGGTGGGCTACCAGGCTTCTTGGACACTGGCAGAAACCCTGATAAAAGCTGACTGCTATTCCCCAATAATTTTAAATGCTCATGTTGGTAAATTTACAATCAGATGTGGGCAGTAATTGTCTTACATGCATTCTGGATATGTATTGCATTCGTATTTTTTGTAATTTGTATGAAAGTACTTCAGGGAACAGTAATTGTGTATTTTTAAAATACTCAAAATATATTCACCGTGATTAATCCAAGAAAAGAGTATCCCCTCTCTATTCCAAAGAATATGGCAGAGCTTAAGCAGTTCTGCCAGGAAGAATGGGCAAAAATTCCTCCTCAACGATATGCAGTTCTGATCCAGAGCTACAGGAAGCGCCTGGTTGAGGTTATTGCTGCTAAGGGGGGGTCAACCAGTTATTAATTCTAAGGGTTCACTTACTTTTTACACTGCCATTTTGAAAGTTGAATGAGTGTGTTCAATAAAGACATGAAAGATCAGATTTTTTCTTGTTATTTTAGACACATTATATTTGCAATACCCTTGACTTAGATGAAGATCAGATCAGATTTTATGACAAATTTATTCAGAAAACCATAACATTCCAAAAGGTTCACATACTTTTTCTTGCCACTGTATTTCTCATTAACTAACCAGTTGCATACAAAAAATATTAATGTCACCGTAAATCAACATCATTTCTTAAGCCCAATTTAATCAATACTTAAGTCGGACAAAATTTACATTTTACAGTGTATTTTCTGTCATCTTAATAGATACAAATTTGATGTATTAATGCAGATGCCAAACTAGAGGTATTGGTGAAATTCGTGTTCAATATTCCATTCTATGAAATGAACACTTCATATCTACATACAGAGCAGGTCTTCTTCCACAGCACCCGCCATGTTTCTACAGTAGCCCAGAACAGCCAAACCAAACAATGGCTCCAGAGAGGCTCCGCATAGGCTCTCCAACATGCTTCGAAAGGGAGTGTAAGGTGAGGGGTAATCAGTTGGTTGTAATCTATGATCTCACCACCTGAAAGGGGTAGGCAATCTGGCCAAAAGATCATACGACAATCTTTTTGGATAGAATCACAATCCACTATCTGAATCACAATCTGCATTCTGTTTCCGCTCTGATTTTATTGTGAGTCTTGACAGCAAGTATCTTTCCATCGCTGATAAAGGTTTTCCGTGTTCTCAGGTGGAGAGCTGGTACATGAGGTGCTACACCGAGCTCACCAAGGCCCCAGACCAGAACAAGAACTGCCGTCACCAACTGAAATTATCAGGCTAGGCTTTTGCAATAAAATATATAAATATAGGACCTTTATTTAGATGATTATTTAGACAATTTATCTGAAAAGTAGATCATATGCCAAAATAAGATCACAATATAAGATTGTCAGATTGCACAACCCTACCGCTAGATGCCACTAAAGCCTGTACACTACTTAAGAACTGACTTACATCTCTGCCATTCACACACCTTTGAGGAGATGTAGTTAGTTTTTTTTGGTTATACAAATTGTCTTCTTTTCATTCACTATGAGTGCCCCTGAAGTGCTGCTGTTTAGTTTTAGTTCAGTTAAATCATTATATTCGTCTTGAATGTTAATGTTGTTAATCATCTTCCTCATCATCACCTTAAGTTTGCTGATTATCCCAATTATAATCAGACATACGAAATCACAAACGAGGTTCAGGAGGGTTAGGACACCATTT